TGAAGGACAGGAAGGCCTGGCGCGATATGGTTCATGGGGTCACGAAGAGTCGGACACGACTTAACGACTAAACAAAAAAAATAAACCATCACTCACCAAAGGCAGAGAAAGAAACCAATATACAAAAATAAACCAATCAAACATCTTTTGTTGAAACAGTAACTAGTTAAGAATCAGAAAACAGAGGGCAGGATTAAATGGATAGTTTTCAATATGAAAGGAAGCACACTGTGGGTTCCACATTAAAAATATTCTAGACATTAATTCATTATGGTGAGGAAGCCAAAGCTCCTTGCAATATTGTAATACTTAATTATTGAAGGTTATGACAGCAAGAATAAAAAAGTCCAAAAGAATCTCTCTCTATGGCACTTTTGCTGCAGAATGGCTGATAAAACTCACTAATTCATCTCCTGTGTACATGCATACACTAACACCCTGAGCATCAGATATAGAGAATTAGCTCTTAACAGGTCCCTTAATCACCCAAAAAAGAGATCTCAGGGATCCAGCAGAAAGTCAGTGCAGAATAAAGCAGCAAATAATAATAATAATAATAATAATGGGACAAATTTAGAATTACAAATGTTTTAGAAAAAGATTGAGAACAACAAGTAGAAGTATTGTCAATAGTTCTGGTTGCCCAAACTAAAAAAAATACTGAAGGGCAATGAAGAACCTACTCCCTATTTTCTAAAAGTTTGTTTTTAAGTGTTCAGTTTGAAAGAAATCTTGTTTCTAGAATCTGTGCTGTAACAATACCCTTTGTAGATGTACCATGTCTTGGTAACGTGTTATTTGCCATTAGACGGATAACTGTAAAAAAGGGCATCATGGCCCATTTTGTTCTAACAGAAGAGGCAACTGTTAGCAACTTTCTACCATTCTAGGAATGGGTAACTGGGGACTTATTACATCCACAAGAAGTGTTCACATAATATGCATTCATATTTTTGGACCCACAGATCACAATGCATCTTTGGGTCTTTCATAAACAAAAGTTTTAAAGAGGGAAAACTCCTGCTTAACCCTTTTCTGTCAAGTATCAATAGCAGGGAAGGCTTGCAGAAGTTCTTCCCCTATGCAATATAGCTACTCCTCTCTGAGCGCAAACACACCAAGGGACAGATAAGCAGCTGAACATCATAAGGCAAGAGGCCTGTACAAACTTCTGCCGCTCAAACAATTTTAAGGAAAAAAGTTTTAAGGAGAACCCTTTGTCCCTTTCCTTATTCATAAGAGAATGTCAGCTGGCAGAGGAAATAACACTGATGCTTGATTACTTGCCCAGTTCAAAAAGGTGACTCATTAAAAAAAAACACCAAACAAATAAGCAACTGTTCAGACTTCATGGGACATTTTCCCTTACAACAATCAGCTGGTTACAGTAGAATATCAACACATAGTTCACAGCACTCAGAAATACTGCTGGGGGCGGGAGAGGGGGAGAAATTGTCCTATCCACACAAGACACACTAGCTGCAGTACCTGGAAAGTTATTTTGGGTCCCAACTCTTTCCTTTCCTTTCCATGATCCTGTATGCGTCTCTGATTCTGTTGTACTGAGCTAGGCTCCGTGGCAACCATACCACTGAAGTAGCTTTTTGATTCCTTGCCTCCAATTGCTGCCTCTTTCCCTCTGGTGATCTAGAAAGCAAAGGGAAGATCTGACACATTTTTATTCTCCAAGGCCGCATGCCTAAATTAGCAGTCCAGGTACGTAACAGAATAGCAGATACAGAAACATCTTTCTGCACTCTGCTTCTCACATATTACATGCACACAGAGCCTACAATTATTTCTCCTTACCTGGTGGTTTGACAGCTCTTTTCTGTTTCCTTGTGTTGTTCCTGCCTGTGCTGAGATGGCTCCTGTTGGCTGGGTTGTTCTAGCAGGGCCCTTTTTGCTCTGAGGTAGCAAGGAAGACAGAAATCCTCCTCGGGCCTGTAGAGAGTGTGCAGTGCTCCTTTGGCTGCATGTCAAGTCACTAAAGGAGATGCAGGGAGTGGTGGCGGGGAGACAAATTAAAGGCAGTGAACCCTAAATCTCCACACTAACATAAATTCCACTTTCCAAAAGAATTTGCATGTGTGTCACACAATGTTCATTTTTAAACAAAGGGTCCTTGAACTACCCTTCCCCAATCTGGGGTTGTTCAGAAACATTATGGTTCCAATTTTCAGAATTCCCACTCTTGCATAGCTAACCAGCTGAGAATTTATAGCATTATAGTCCCAACATTTCTAGAGGCATCCAGTTGGGGGATGCTTTCTTACATCAAATGCATTTAACCACTCATGAAGACTTAAAACAAAGTATGCTCCAGAAGTGATTTAAAAAAAAAGAGAGATACCTAACCATCAGTTCTATAAGAACCTGGGATGCCAGGGGACGGGAGGAGGAGGAAGACAAACAATAGTTTTCAAATGTTTGCTATCCTTCTCTTCCATCATGCCTATCTAAATCTCTAGGCAAGCTGGCTGTCTAAGTAAATCATGCAAACAATTCTAAAAGGTCCAAGATTTCTCTGGGTAATCCAACAGTGTGCCCACTGACTGGCCTCTCAAATACACTCACAGCTCTGAGTCCCCCAGATGGTCCATGTTGACCACATATGAAGGAAGCTTATGATGAAGCATCAAATCATCCTCCTCCTCCTCCTCCTGCTGCTGTTCCTCTTTTTTCATATGGGAGTACTCTGCTTGCAAAGCAAACAACTAGAAAAAAAATGGGGGGGGGGTAGAGAATAAAGAATTGAACTGCTTTCCCGCTATATGAATGCAGACATATGTATACCTTGTATTACTCATTAATTTCAAAACAGCAGTTATATTAGCACAACCTGTTAGGCAGGACTCTTAGTTTATCAAGCTACAACATGTGCAGCATGCACAAGCAAGCCTACAAGCCACGAAGGAACATTTTTATTTGATTCATTCAAACAATTCAGGATGGTCTAACAAACATTGCTTTAAATCTGGTTTACAAATCCTGACTTGTTTAATACTTAATCCTAGTCCATGTTATTGCCAAGCTATTATTTCATAGCTTTTCTAACTACTTATGTAATGAAGGGACTGAACAACACAAACACTTTGCTTATTTAGATAGGGATTATTTAACTTAGGCTCCTGTCTCAAAGTTACATGTGATCTTAGCTAAAACTTACCTTTAGTGCCAGAACTGGAAAACAAATCTTAATATACAGGTGCCATTCTTACCTTTTGACACAGGATTTCATTTTTTTCTTGCAGGATATTGTTCCGCTGACATTCTGCTTCGAAGTTCAGAATCACTGGCACAGGTAACAAAGGTTAAGGATGAAGAAACTTAAGACACTTACAGGATTCTTTCCTTTGTGTATGCACCAAACTTGAAGTACTTTCCAAAGCCATTCTAAGATTTTTTGGGACTTATCATAACTTTTCCTTCTCTAGTGCTGCTCTTGCCCTATGAAATAACACTCCCCCCAAGGTCCAACATTAAAAACTTGTCTTTGTGAGTCCTTTTGGGCCAGGGCAATTTGTGATCCCACCTGAATACTATGGTTTCTCAAACGGTATAGCCAGAATTACACTTAGCTGGGTTTCTAGCATACAGCTCTAGCATGGTGGTGTGATGGATGATCGATCATCTGAATGATGAGAAAATACAGTGGTACCTCGGGTTACGAATGCCTCTGTTAACGAGCTTTTCGGGTTACGACCAGCTCCGGCCGCAAAAATTTACCTCGGTTTGAGAACTCCGCCTCAGGTTACAAACCGGATCCGCGGCCATTTTCCCTGCTGCCACGCAGTCGCGGCCTCCCGTGGGCGGGCTCACAGTAGCCAGGAGAAGTTCGGTGGGGCTTTGTG